CTGATGGACTTGCTCAGGCCCCGGCCGGTCCCTCCGTCCCTCCTCGGTCCCTCCTCATACTACCCCAGCGTGGTTAGTGCCCCCATGGCTGGCTGCAAACCACACGGCCCAGCACCAAGTCACGCCCCTAACGCCTTAAGGGGGCAAAGGTATCTTCCTGTGATTCCTAGTTTCCCTCCCCATACCTCACTGAACTCTGTGTAACCCAATTTTGGCATGGCATCAACGGCCCAATTGTAAGACAGTGTTAAATCAGATGCAAAGAAAACCCCAAACTCATTCTCCTAAGTCAATGACCTACATATTCAATTGCTTATTCTCCAACTCTGTAGCAAACACCGTGCTATATTTAAACATAGAGCACAGATAGGCTTTCTCCTGAAACGTTAGTGATACAGACAAGCCTTCTACTCCAGCCCTCTCTCCTCCAGCTAAAGAATGTAAATCTTGTCAATATCAACTGTGGAACTCTGAAAGCAACAAGCGGGGTCGACTGTCTCCCTTATTTTAGTAAGGTAGCAAGTGTCATTTTTGTAAAAAGCAAAAGTGAGCAGTATCTCCACTGGAACACAAGAAAAACGAAGCCTGGTTCAACCCTGCCTCCCCAGTACTTGGCAAATAGCAAGTGCTCAGAAAGAAAACAGATAACGTCAAGTCAGTTAAACGTGGGTAACAAGCATGTCACGTACCAAGTGTCCAAAGGGTATGCGAACACTGCCTAACTGCTGAACCCTGACACCCAAATAGTACTGCAGCCAGCAGGGATGACAGCAAAAGCAGGAGGGAGCTCTCAGAGTCTAAGACTCTGGGAGACTTCACTGCCAGTCTCGGTATCTCATCCAAATATGACGGGGCATGGGAAAGTCAGCCCCCCACAACCAATGCTGGAAGAGGATCCTAAGAACATCTGAAGAAGCAACAAGGCAGAGGGTTTGAAAGCCAAACAGAAGACAGCCCAGCCCAACACCTCAACAGGTGCCTCCTTCCTGGGAAAGGAAAGCTGCCGGGGGTGGGGCGAGGGGCCAGGCAGTAAGCAAGAGGCCAGGGGAGCCTTCCAAACAGACTGCAGTGCAGTGGGCCGTCTGGGAAAGGACCAGGGTGACTAGGACACACGTGCCAACCACAGCCCAAACTGCGGCTGTAGTTTGGAATCCCTCCTGCAGGCACCTTCTTGCCATGTCCAACCGTGTGACCCTAGAAGCATCTTCTCACAGGTATGGGAAAAGAATGCCACCCGGACACACTAAGATCCTCTAACTCAAGTTCTAATTCCATTTAAAACAGGCAATCATGAACATTAAAGCCAATTCTCAAGTGACCAGGGCTTGACAGAAATCAAGAGTGCAGAACAGGAAGAGTCATTGCAAAGGGGATTTCTCTGTTCCTTTGGACTCAGGTAAAGTTCCGTTCATTGGGCAGCAAACTCCAGCCCCACAGCACAGATGAGAAGGGCCAAGAAACACCACCCCTGAGGCCAGACCCCACAACCTGACCCACGGCATCAACGAGGAAGATGGAAAACGCGTGTGGACTGAAATGCTCAACTCAGTGGAGCCGTCATTCAGTAAAATGTTTTTGTTCCTTTTGGCCACACTGGCCCTTCTAAGTGGTTCCTGCACCCTCAGCCTCCTCCTCAGAGGAGACTTCCCAGTCAATACCGCTCGCCCTCCCGTCTCCCCATGCCTCGCCCACAGAAGTAATCAGCCAATTTCCCTCAATCAACTCTCTGGGGCTCCGCCATTGCTTTTTAAGCCTTGCTGTCAAGCTTTCCTTCCTATCACCTCCCCCCACTACCGTAGATTTATTTGTATATATATTACATATATAAATTATATATATATATAAAATTACATATATAACATATGTACATTAACATATACATTCAAAAAAGCTGGTGTGGACTCCTGATGGTCAAAACCAACAGCCCTTTTTTTTCCTTAAAGATTTTATTTATTTATTTGAGAGAGAGAGAATGAGAGAGAGCACGAGAGGGAAGAGGGTCAGAGAGAGAAGCAGACTCCCCGCCGAGCAGGGAGCCCGATGCGGGATGCGATCCCGGGACTCCAGGATCATGACCTGAGCCGAAGGCAGTCGCCCAACCAACTGAGCCACCCAGGCGCCCCCAACAGCCCTTTCTCAGCTGCTATCTAGACACTGCCCCACGACATACACACCCCCCCCACCCTATGCACTCGGATACTGCGCTAAGTGAGAAGCAGGTACTATTAAGAAAGGCAGATTTGAAGATAAATGAAGATAAATGAAACCTAACCTTGTCTTCAAGGAGTTCTCCAGTGCTGGAGAAGCAGGCATGGAAGGAGATTACCCCTCTGCCTGAACTCCCGTTCAGATGCTCCCAAGTCCATTTCCTCCACCTGTCTCCCTAGGCAGAAGCTCCATGTGCACCTCACCCCTGCCTTCTAGACACTTCCTCCCCATCTGCATGTCCCACCTGCCCCTCAAACTCCGCTAGCCCCCATCATCGCCCTACCACTTGGGAGTTCCTGATTCCGACCAGGCTAGCCTCTCCATTTGTCCACCTCTGTGTCTGACAAATTGAGAGAGTAATCCCAATGTTTCCCCTAAACACCAGTTCCGGGGCAGGAAGTAAAACTCCTAACTATCATCTTTAAACCACCTAACAAAAGCCCAACAGAATTAGTATTTTTTTGGAAGAGAGTCCAATTCAACTGGTCGGTATCAACTGGCTTTGTCCTTGAAGTATTTTAAATTCCATTCCATGCAAGCTGGTGCAGCCACTCTGGAAAACAGTATGGAGGTTCCTCAAAAAGTTGAAAATAGAGCTACCCTATGACCCAGCAATTGCACTACTGGGTATTTACCCCAAAGATACAAACGTAGTGATCTGAAGGGGCACCTGCACCACAATGTTTATAGCAGCAATGTCCACAATAGCCAAACTATGGAAAGAGCCAAGATGTCCCTCAACAGATGAATGGATAAAAAAGATGCAGTGTGTATATAATACACACACACACACACACACACACACACACACACAGTGGAATATTACACATTTCATCAAAAAAAATGAAACCTTGCCATGTGCAATGATGTGGATGGAACTAGAGATATTATGCTAAGCAAAATAAGTCCATCAGAGAAAGACAAGTATCATATGATCTCACTGATATGAGGAGAATTTGAAAAACAAGACAGAGGACCATAGGGGAAGGGAGGGAAAAATGAAACAAGATGAAACCAAAGGTTTCAAACCATAAGAGACTCTTAATCTCAGGAAACAAACTGAGGGCTGCTGGAGTGGTGGGGGGTGGGAGGGATGGGGTGGCTGGGTGATGGACACTGGGGAGGGTATGTGCTATGGTGAGCGCTGTGAATTGTGTAAGACTGTTAAATCACAGACCTGTACCTCTGAAACAAATAATGCATTATATGTTAATAAAAAAAAAAAAAAGCAGAGTTCAACTTAAAAAAAAAATTCCATTCCAAATCAAATGACCACCTTAGAACAAGAGCTCCTCACAGAACGGCTTCCTCTGAATTGTCCCTCAACATGCTTCTGACTTTTTCCGGTGGACCCAGGCACAAGCAGCCTGATATGTTACCAGACCTTGGTTGATGGTAACTCTCTATCCCTGTACCCAATTCTCTGAAACAGAGCATTTCTCCTTGTGATCAGCTCAAGGGCAAATGTTGTCTCCCTAAACTCAGAGAGAGCTGTCCATGGCCAACTGTCCTGAAATTTATGGTTGCTGTATTTGCATTTTTTTTAATCAACTCTGGCCCTTCCCCAATCTCATACAGCAGCCTATTTTCGAGTCCTCAAAGTACTTTCTTGAAAGAGGTAGGATATAAATAAATGGAATCCACTCAAGGACACGTTAGTGGCCCTATAAACCAGGGCTTCAAATGTACTGGCCCCAGAAAAACTTGGAGAAGCTTCCCCGAGGCCAGTGAAGCCAGCACACCCGGATTGCTGGGTTTTTGTAGGGCCCAGCTCACAAGGTAGCAGATATGCAGGGAGGGGTCCAGAACACCCCCTTAACCAGTATCTTCATACTGAAAAAAACTAGAAATGTACGTGCTACTACGTGATTTATCAGTGGCTCCAGAAATCAAGTGCAGGCAGCCAGAAATGCAAACAGGTAGGCACAGATGTTGAAAACCAGGAACTAAAGACCATGACCCTCACGCTTCATTGAGCACAGTATCTGGCGGGGAGGGGAGACCACAGGGCAAGAGAGAGGCATGAGAAGGGCTATCAATGATCATTCTGAATATCTAGGAAAAGCCAAGACAAGCAGGCCCCCTCTAAATAAAAACGGCATGGCTACTTTTTCCAGAACGAGTGAACTCCACAGCCCAACCCCAGCGGAGCAAATGGTATAGACTCTGCATCTGTCTTGTTAATGTAGGGGCAAAGGTAGAGGAGGATGTCCCCCACCCACTCGTCCCCCGTACCCACTGCACCACCCTCCCGCAGAAAGCCAACCTTCTGTTAAATGGTTTAAAAAACAGCTCCATTTCCCTACATGATGGGTAGCACTATAAAATTTCATAACTGCTTTAGAAAACTAAACAATGTACCTATTCTGTGACCAGTAATTCCATTTCTAGGAATTTACCCAAGAGACATGAAAATGTAGGTCCATAAAAAGACAAGTGAAGAACAATCCATAGCAGCTTTATTCAGAATAGCTAAAAGCTGGAAACAGCCCATGTATCCATCCACAGGTAAAAGGGTAAACAGTGTGGCAGATTCCTACAATGGAATCCTACACAGCCACTAAGAAGGAACAGGTAACCGACCCAGGCTAAAACAATTCAAGTATCTCAAAAACATTATGAATTAGAAAAGGCTTTTGCAAAAAGGTTCATGTGGTATAATATATATGAACGTATAACACATATGTATCTATGTATGTTATATAGTATTGGTTTCACGAACAAGCAAAATTAATCATGGGGAGGTTGGGGGTGCCTGAGGTGGTCAGGGACTGCATGGAAAGGGCCAGGAGGGAAATTTCTGGAGCAATGCCGTGTCCTGGATCTTGAGAGGGCACAGGTATGTGCATTTGCCAACGAAGTGACTGGCCCCCTTAGGATATATGCATTTCCTTTTACCGCATGCCCCCACTCCCCGAACACCTCCCAAAGTTTCACCTCAAAGGAAAACAAAACAAAGAGGAACCACAAGCAAGTCCATGTCAGGTGATGAGATGCACGCTGAGGGACTCAGGGTTAAAGGTGAGCAGGATCTGGAAAGGTAGCCAAGAAACGTTGCCAAGTAAAAGACAGGCTGATGGGCAGAGGGCAGGAGAGCGCCTTAGCCCTTGGGTGAGGGTGGGTGCATGTGTTCACTGCAGAATCGTGTCCACTTGTGGAGCCTATTTCATGCTTGTCAATCCACAGGAGTCCTGTCTCTGGAATGAGGCCCACAGGAACCCTGAGAGGCAGGGTCCATTTCCCCACCAAGTGTGGGAATCCAGGCAGCCCAGGTAGAACTTCCGCCCAAGTCCGAGTGTGGAAACAGCCTCCAACCAAGTAATAGCCACTCTGTCCATGGACTTCTGAATCCAAGGAGGCGGGCTGGGGGCTTGTTTAGGACTGTGTGCTCATGCCAGCTGATAAAACAGAACCCCGCCCCCTCAGGAAAAGAGCCACTGTCTGAATACAGCGTCAAGGGGGCTCACCTGCACTGTGCGCGTTCTGGTGTCTCGAGGCAGGCAAGGGGAACCCCAAGAGCAGCCAGAGCAGCCAGAGCAGCCAGAGGGTTTCAGACCCTCCCTCTCCAAGCCTCTTCAGGGGCGGTACAGCCTTTTGGCCCACAAACAGCTCCCCAAGAGCAAAACGATTACCCAGAGCCCATCTGGAGCACATCATAAGTGCCACACGGCCGTAACCCAGCTATCGCTGGGAAGGGCCATGTCCTGTCAAAGTCGGGACTCCTTTGTCTCAAGGTGTAGCCCCAGCACAGGTCACACTCGTGGGCCGGACATTCCAGCCTGTCGTATCAGTCAAGAGGCTTTTAAAGGATTAAGTATAGAAAATGAAAGTTCCCGGGGGGGAATACAGCATGGGGACCCTCTGAAAGGCCACCCACTCCACTGTCATTCCAGATGCTTCACCCAGATGGCGGGCAAATGACAATAAAAGCACGTGTGAGAGGCATGAACAGCGAGGCAAGGGTAACGGAGCCATACCCAGATGGAACCCTAGTGCTCAGACTTGGGCCACGCCTGGAATCACTGAGCACAGGCCCCGCATTTTAAGAGTCAGGCAAAAGGCACTGGGAGAGTAAGTATGGCTTGCTGCCCGAACTAGAAGAAATTCCTGGGCACTGTCCCTTTGACCTACTTTATAAAGTTCGATAGGTGTTAGGAGTTTGGGTCCTCCAAAAACAAGGCCAGACGAAATGAGCTGTGCAAGAGACTTCTTGGGGAACGCAAAAAGGGAGTCAGAGGGAGATTCGGGTTGGACTCCTGCAGAGGAACAGGGGAGAAAGGAGTCCAGGTGGGAGAAATCTCCACCGTTGTGCAGTTTAAGGCCAGCATTGGCTGGCTGCTAGGAGGAATCCCCAGTCTTACAGGAAAGGCCTGGGGGCACCAGGTGGCTCAGTCAGTTGGGTGTCCAACTGGTAATTTCGGCTCGGGTCATGATCTCAGGGTCGTGAAACTGATCCCCATGTCGGGCTCCACTCTCAGCAGGGAGTCTGCTTGAGATTCTCAAGCTCTTCCTCTCCTTCTGCACCTCCCCCTACCCCCCCCATCTCAAATAAATAGATCTTTAAGGAAGGAAGGCCAGAAGGAAGGCCTGGCATCCCCACCATGCTCAGACCCCAGCTAGGGGCAGCCCCTGGGAGCCGAGGCTCTGTGAGTGCGAAGCTGGATTCCAGATGCAGAACACAACAGTTGGGGCCACCAGTCGATTCCATTCCCAGAAGCAGAAGATATCAGAGAGGCACCTTTTCATGGCTGCCACCCCTTACCAGGTCCCTGCTACAGTTTTACCACCCAAGACTTCATTCTAGACTTCTCCAAACATGGACAATCCACTCTCAGGGCCACCTGGCTGCACCCCAAAGTACTGGGGTGGATGGCATTTGGCAGGTGTGAGGCAGGGAGCCTTGCAAGGATGCCCACCCTCAGGGACTCACAGCCTAGCGGGAGCACCCCTACAAGATGGGGGGCAGGGGTGGGAGACAGAATCTCCAGGACGAAGCACATAAATGGACAGGAGCTGGCCATGAGGTGGCGATCGGGAGAAGCGGACACCTTATCACTGAGGCAGAGTGTGACACAGGGTTGGCCTGGATCTACGATCAAGGTACTCGATTTCCCAAACTAGGGTATTAAGTTACATTCACACTGCTTCCACAAACCCAGAACGGAGTATCCACTCAAAACAACACACGCTTATTTCTGTATCACACAAAGATCAATGTTCCTAACCATGGGCAACTCTCCACAGGGTGACTCAGGGACCCAGGAAGCTAGGTGATTTCCTGCTGAACAATCAAGGGTGGAAAAAGAGAAAGTGGGTAAACACTTGTTTCTGAACTAATTCTGCTGGGAAGGGACACTTATTCCAACCAGGACTCACTGGCAGGAGTGGTCCTGGGGCTTCAGGGAGATGCCTAGGTGGCCACCAAGCAGCCACTCCGGCAATCAGTCCCCACCAGTGAAGGGAAGTGTGGGACTGCAGGGGACATCCGGTCATCTCCACCACACACACCTGCCAACTTGGCCTCAGGACAGGCTACTTTGGAAGCAATACAAGCCTCTGGTTCTCTGAACAGAAGAGGCCAAGGTTATCGGGCCATGGGGCCAAACCTGAAAAAAGAGGCCAACTCTAGAAACGCATCTCTTCCATTTTCCTGGGGCCACACAACCACGGCATTGAAGCGCAAGTGGTCCTAGCTCGACTTCCACTGATCGACTTAAAAAGTTAAGTTTTATTTGGAAAAGGCCCAACCCTAACACTTTCAAGTTTGCAAAAATGCTTTCATGTCTATCAAGGCTAAAATACCATCAAATCTGATACTCGGCATTATTTCATAAGCCACTAGGAAAGGAAAAAAAAAGAATACTGTTCATTCAACTAAGGCACACAATCAATTTCGTGACGGCTCAATCCTGGAGATAGATATTAAAACGGCGTGAACACCAAGGAAGTAACAGTGTTTCTGTTGAAGTCTCTCAACAACCCAGGAAGAAGCACAGACCTCACCATTTCACAGATTGGGGGGCCCAACCCCCGTGTTGGGTTGGGTGACTTGCCAGAGCTTACCCAGCTTGCGGGGGGGCGGGGGGGGTTCCAACCAGCCTGACTCAGCACCTGCACCTGCGTCGAGACCCAGCCCGTCTGCCAACCCTCACAGACAGACCTAGCCATTCTCCAGTATCCTTACATGCATATACGCTCCGCTTCAAATGGCAAATCAAGCACCTTGGATAGAATATTCTTTTAAACTCATTTGAATTAAAAAAAAAAAACACTACACTAAAATATGGATTTTCATCTGCATAACACTTTACCAACAAATTCCACAACATTCAAGTGAGAACAGATGATGTACTGAAACATCAAAAACAAGAATCCGATTTGGTAAACAGTTGAGTGCTATTTTCACATCATCCTAATGAATTTAGTTTCAATAAACGCAAATCAGCAAACACTCTGAAAATTCTAATGGTATGGCACAAAATGATGCTTTGAATGACAGCCCCAGAAAGCAAACTGTTTCCAGCAAGTGACAGATACCACAAGAGAAAAATCAAAACTGATGACTCCGTTCAAAGGGTCTACTTATATGGCTGGCAGGTCTGAACTTGGCCCTGGGCATGCTGCCCATATATAGCTCCCTGGACCATGAGTGAAGCCAGTGGAGGAGCTCTAGATCCCTGGATCCTGCTCAAACTGCTCAATCTGATAGCAGGTGTCTGGTGCGTGCAAATATGTGTACAGCAGGTGGGTCAGCCATCACAAAAGACGCCGCGCAGAGTTCTGGTCAAATTCTTGCCCGGGGCAGACTCCTGCCTCTCGATCCATCTCAGTAGGGCCCCCAGCATTAAGTGCAGGAAGTGTCTGAGGATACGGATAGGATACAGGCCCAGACGGGCCCAGACGCCCCCAGGGCCCCACTCAGCTGCCCACCCACCCTGTATGCTGTGTCTGAATCCTGTGGTCCCTAGGTTAAACCTCAGTAGTGACTTCACTACCACTTTCTTAAACTCAAGAGCACAGTGAGCCCGAGACAGGAAAACACATGGACACACAGAGAGCCATCGCTTCCTCTGAGCTCTTCGTCTTCTCCAACCGAAAACAGGGGTCATTGTTGGTAGGCTGTCCTTAGAACACATCTAAACACAACTGTCAACCTGAAACCACTATAAAAAGACTGGCCTGGTCTTTTGCAATGACATTTTTACCTTGGCCAATGAACAAATTCAGAGTCGTTTTTGCAAAAAAGAACCCCAAAATCTAATAGCTTCCTTAAAAAACAAGCGCAGCGTAGTTTCTCCAGACTGTGAGCTCTGTGCAGACAAGGAAGTGGCCCCTTCTTACTGTATTCCTCCTGGAGCCTAACATGTGGGAATCAACACGTGATTAACTGAATTCTGAGTGCCTGGCACAGACTTCCTGGCCGTGGCCAAGATTACAGGAGTTTGTGGGTTTTTTTTTTCTTTTGCATGGACAATGAAAGTTTGGTTCCAAAAAGAAAGGCACATAAAAAGCATTTAAGACTTCACTGATATGATTTTAAGCACGAACCAAGATCAGATTTTAAAAGCATGTCAGCAGCAGGAACAAAAACAAGCATTTGAAAGCCACAAGCACGTTATTTTCCACTTGCTGTGCGTCCAAGGATCCAGGTAGCCCCCAAAGGCCAGACCCATGCAGCTGGAACTCTTTAATCCATCACTATTCTAGTCCAGCGGCCTCGCCATCGAGTAAGCGTTAGGACTCTCAACTTGAGAACAAGGAGACAGAGGCACTGAGCCTCATGCCACGGTCCACAGACTAACAGAGTTCAACTCCAGTGCACCCGGTGGAAGGCCACTCATGACCTGCCCAGCAAAGGCCAACGGGGCAGGAGGAATACGGTGAAATGGGATCCGGGCTTCAAGACGGACCCCCATGGAGAATTCAGGACCCTCCGCTTCCTGCCACCCCTCCCCCTTCACCCAGGTGGCTAGAGGGGGTATAACACACCACGATTCCAGCTCTGAACTCAGGGCCCATCCAGGAACCCCAGGCAGGGACTGGGGAATCTGCAAGACCCTAGGATCCTAATGGTCCAGCACCTCTAGAGACGCCTCAGTGAGGGGGGTCGCTGGCCGAGTTCCCAAGGGAGGGGAAAGATCGCAAAAGACTCGGCTAGAAAACTGTGCCACCTGCCATAGCAGCCCCAGACACCCAGCTGAGGAAGGCGAAGCACCCAGCACCCCAGGTGCCACCTCTGCCCCCACAAGTGCTCAGGGAAGGGAATCAGCCAACAGGAGCAGCTGAACGGGGCTTAAGTCAGGCCAAACCCTTCCCCCTGGCCCCAGCTGCAGCCTCTTAGCCCAGCCTGCTGGCTAGCTGCCCCTGCCCCACCACACTAACCCCCAATGGCTTCATCCCAACACCACCCAGTCGCCCAGGACCTTGGTATTGTTAGAATCTCAAACCCTTTCCCTTTCCTAATAAAGGGGACAGAGCTAGATTGCATCCTACAGGGGTCCACGGGGCGCCGCCACCCACTTAGCCCAGCTAGAAGAGCCTCTCCTTGGTCCAGGGATCACACTGTCACCTGTGTTCACTTCCTCCGCGGCCCCAGCACCCCTCATGCCCCCAACCCCAGGGCCTTCACCAAAGCCCAGTGACCTGCAAGCAGGACTATTCCTGGCAGCTCCTCAGGGCTTCCCCAGTTCCCTGTTCAGCACCCACCCCGCACCCTTTGCTCTCTCTCCCTCCTGTCCCAGAGAGTGGGCAGAACAAATTTCCCCACTTCCACCCCCGACAACAAGGTACCTCACATAGGAGTTCCGAACAATATTAGGTCCCAGGCTCCTGCAAGAACTGTCCAGAGCTGGATTCTGTTCCTATAAAAATGCACCTAAGACCCTCCCCACCCCATCCCCTTGACTAGAGCCATTTCTGGGGCTCACACCCACCCCCAGGCATGGAGCCCCGAGCCTCCAGCTTTGTTTCCTAGGCAACAGCCCGCTTTCCTTCCCACTGACCACTGACCGAGGCAGGAAGATTTGGACGCTCCCAAAGTTACTTCTCAAGAGGCAGGAGACGCAGCTTTCCTTACTTATAAGCAGGAGGGGCCCTGCAGCAGCTGGGATCCCAGCAGCTAGGGCTCCCCCAACCCCGTTCACGTGCTCACAGGCACCTGTCCTACAAACCTGACCTCACTTTCACTCCAGGAGAGCCTCGCAGAGGAAATGGCACAGCCCCAAAGACTCTCACCTGGCGATGGGAAACTGGCCGGTGACTCCTGCTTATGACGGTGGTGAGTGGCTCTGGGTCACCTGGTGTCTGGCCTTGCAGGACTGGTGTACCTGTCACGTCGGACCCAAGTTTGAAGAGCTGTGCTTCCGGGAAACTCCTCTCTGCCCAGCCCCCAGTCTGTAGGCCCATGCCTTCTGGCCCACGGGCAGAAAGGGGCAAGTGGCCTCCGCTGAGAGCAGATAGGCTGGGCAGTGGCTTTCTATCTGGTTGCCCGTTAGAATCATCTGGGAGCTTTTAAAGCTACCCGAGGCAGGTCCCACCCCAAGATCATTGACTTAGAACCTCTGAGGGTGGGGCTGGGCTCAGACCTCTTGTCAAAACTCCCAGGTGATGTCAGGGCCAGACAGAGATGAGAAAGATGGGGCTGGATGGGGCCAGGTGGAGGACAGGGCAGCCTCCGGGGTGGACAAGCTGGAGGGAACTCAGGCAGCCCCTCCTCACCGCCACCGGCAACTCACGGCCCATAGCCCACCTCCTTCAAGTCGCCTTCCCTTAGTGTATGTGGACGGGAGCCTGGGTCCCAGTGCTGGGACTCCCTTGCCCCTCCCCAGCCTGGCTCCCCAGCTTGCTCACTGCTCTCTGGTTGTGAGGTCTGCTCCTTGCAGGTGGGACCACGTCAGACTTCTTCAGGCTGCCATCCCAGACCCAGCACAGCATGGGCCACACTTTGTGCCACCCCCACCCCCACAGTTCAGTAGCCCTGAAATGAGGAAAGGTTCACTCCCCCTCCGTGTGCTCAGAGAAGGAAGAGGCAACAAGGAAAGCAAGCCCCACCCCACGGAGCCCAGTCTCTCAGGAATTACCCTTCTCAGCACCTTCCAAACCTCCCTACTCAGGTGTGATTTATTCCTGAAACCATCCCCTGCAGAGACTTCCCTGAACTCACACTGTGCACCTGCCACCAGCCAGGGGCTGAGAAACACAGACCCCACAGTCTGTTAAAAAGCACCAGCCCAAAACACTGACTACAACTCCCTCCAAAATAGCTCCACTC